CTTCCTCTCCCTCACCTCACCTGCAGGTTGACGCACGTGTCGATGATGCGCATCGTGGACATGGCAGCGCCGCTTCTCAATGCTGCGCGTGCAAGGAGAGAGGAGGACCGAGGGAGGGAAGAGAGGAGGGAAGAACTCCTCGGACGGTCCAACCCCAGCAGGAGCTCAGCAGAACCGCAGCTACTGCTGCCCGCACCGTCGTGGTGGTTGTTGGTTGTCTGGTGTGAGGGGGGCAGAGGAGAAGGTACCGGTGAAAAAAGCAGGGATGATACAGGGTGGGGTAGTAATTCCCACACCGATGCCGGCGAATTGAGAAGATTTCCCATGTAGAGGCTGAACGACCTGCTGGCTCCTCTTCCTTCCCTCTCTCGCTCCCTCTCCCTCCTCATCTCCTCTTCCTCTTTTCTTCCCCGTCTCTTTCCTCCTCTTCCCACCCCTCTCCATTTGCTCTACAAAGCAACCTGCCCGCGCTACCCTCGTCATGGCAACGCTGGTATGGCGGGAACTTCGTCTTGCCCCGTGGTTCCTTGTCATCCTCTCCCTCCCCTCCTTCCTCCAGCTCGAAGAGGACCCTTTCTCCCTCCGCCCCGTCCCTAGCCAGGAGCACCTACATAGCAAGAAAGGCGGCATACCCCTTATACGCCCGCCAAATCCTCTGCAGACACCGCTCGCAATGCAGGAGGGCCTGTGGGAGGGCGTCGAGCTAGTTAACGCTGCTGGACTTCCTCGTTCTCCGGACGACGATCTCTATCCTCCTGGGAGCAGCTCGGCCCCTTGCATGTTGCCCAGTCCTCCCCCACTGATGCAAGGGAAGGGAGAGCATGGCTCGACAGGATGGAAGGGGAAGGGGAAGGAGAATCAGGAGATGGTTGGAAGAAACGCTGCTAGGTTTGATGAGAAGGAATTCTTGAGGTGAGCACAATAGAGAGGCAGGGAAGGGTGGAGGAGAATGAGGTTGAGCAAGTTGAAAAGAGGACAAAGACGAGGAAGCGGACAAAAACGAACATGAGAATGAGGACAGGGAAGAGGAAGAGGAAGAGGAAGAGGAAGAGGAAGAGGAAGAGAAGTAGTAGGAGCTAGAGCAGGGGCACGAGGAGGAGCTAGAGAAGGGGTGCGAGGAAGGGGAGGAGGAGGAGGAGGAGGAGGAGGTGGTGGTGGTGTCTTCCTGCCTGCATCTAATAGCGATGTAGAGGGCTCAACTTTCTGCGGGCGGGAGAGGTCCAGGAGGCGGAGAGCCAGTTTATGACAATGCTGAGCCAAGACCCACAATCTGATCTCCTGATGACCGTGCTTGGGATCCTGGCAATTTTGCAAGACAGGCATGAGG